ACTATGTATGCAAGACACACACACCTGACACACAAACCGTGAGACACAAATGCGCCACGTAACCACATAACCACCGTAATACACTCAACACACATCAGATACACAGACATACAATCCACGTGACATAAATGTGCCACAAAACCACAAAACCAACTATACATACAATCCCACAGGCATACAACCCATACAACCCACCTGCACAAACCTACTACAAAACACACACTGCCCCCGCCTGATAACCAGACAGAAAACCCACCTGACACACAACCAGCTACACAAACAACCCCCCAACACACAAACTAAACACACATCCAACTTCACACACAACCACACACACAACCCACCAGACAGACACACAGCCAGCTACACAACATCTTGCCCAACACACAACCAGGCAGACACACACAACCCACCCGACACAACCAGAAGCAACCTACCAGGCCTCCAAACCACATCGTTGGACACACACCCCACCACACACCCCAGCAGAGACACAACAACCCATCAGGCATAACCATCTGACGCACACAGATGACACCACCAATCAGGCCACAGGCTCGCAGCGATGCAGAGAAAATGGGAGAGACACACGGATACAGACGCAGCAAACAACACGCAGACTCGGCTGCAGGCGTACAGGGACCCACCGCCCAGCACACGTGCACCGACGCCTGGGCGCCAACTGCACAGACAGACGCCAACACCCAGGGGAGCGGCCCTTGCAGAGCGTAGCGGCCCGCGGGGACCCGGGGACCCCCAGCTCATCCCAGGGCCCCCTCGGGTTCAGCCCTGGAAAGGGGGAGCAGCACCGCAGGACCTTGTCACCGCCAGCGCGTGACTGTAGGACCCGCACTGGGTGCACCTGCGCTGTCGGCCTCGCCCTACACCTGGGCGCGACACGTGTCCTCACCTGGCGAAGACTGAGGTCGCGGGAACTCCCGGGAGGGGGGCCGTGCGGGGAAACTGAGTCTCGTCGGGGTGGGGCGGCCGCAGGAGGCTCCGGGCGGGGCGCGGCCGCGTCTCGGCGGGCGCCGGCGGGAGCGAGGCTGGCGGGGTCCGCGGGGGCCGGGGCCGTGCGGCGGCGCGCCCCGTCCGTCTGTCCGTCGGTCTGTCTCCGGGTCTGGCCAGCCCGGGCTGGCCGCGCGCTCCGCCCACCCCGCCCCTGCGCCCCGCCCCGCGGCGGGGCCCGGCGCCTGTGGGGTTCCAGGGCGCCCCCAGCCCCGGGGACCCTGCGCGCGCGGCCACCGGGGCCGGAAGCCCGTGGGCAGGGGCGTCCCCAGCCGCGCTCGGCACCGTCGGGGCGGTCCCCGGGGGCGGGGTCAGGGTGGGGGGCCCGGGCTCCCCGCGGGCGCCCTGGCGCCGGCGGGGTCCCGAACCGAGGTGCCGCATCCCGCCGGCTGAGCGCCGAGGCTGGGTGGGGGGCGCGCGCCGATCCCGAGGGTGCCCAGGGCCCAGAAAGGCTTTTCCGGTGAGGTGGGACGCGTGGGTGAGGGGCGCAGAGGGGTGAGAACCGAGGCTGGAGGCGACTGGGGGACCCCCGAGGGAGCCTTCAGTGGGGGTGGGATACAGGGGGGATGAAAGGGAGGTGGGGGCCCTCACACTCCTGCTTCCCGACCCCACCCGCCCGCGGGGTTGGAGGCAATCCAGGTCCTGGAACAGTCTGGCAGGAGCTGGGGTTGCTGGCCCCTGCAGACACCATGGGTGTTCTCTCCTTTCTTTTCTTTCTTTTCTTTTGCTTTTTGGGTCCCACCCGGCGATGCACAGGGGTTACTGCTGGCTCCTGCACTCAGGAATTACTCCTGGCGGTGCTTGGGGGACCCTATGGGGTGCCGGGGATTGAACCGGGTTGGCCTTGTGCAAGGCAAATGCCCTCCCAGCTGTGCTATCGCTCCAGCCCCTTTTCTCTTTTTTCTTTCTCTTCCTTTCTTTCCCACTCCTCGCTGTGCTCAGGGCTTTAGTCCTGCCTGACTCTGCATTGAGGGGTCACTCCTGGAAGTGCTCAGAGGCCCATATGGGGTACTGGGGATCAAACCGAGGTCAGCTGCGTGCAAGGCAGGCGCCCTACCTCCTTGCTCTTTCTTTCCTCTCTCTGTCTCTGTCTCTCTCTCTTCTCTCCTTTTACACCTGGCAGTGCTCAGGACTTCCTCCTGACTCTGCACTGAGGAATCACTCCTGGTGGGGTTCAGGGGACTCTAGGGGGCACTGGGGATCAAACTTGGGCTGGCCACATTCAAGGCAAACGCCCTCCCTGCTGTCCTTCCTGTCCAGGCCAACCACGGTCTCTGACAAAGCCAGGCGCTCAAGTCCCCAAAGGTGTAAATACAAGGGGGGTGGGGGGGTGGGCAGTGGGCAAAGGTCCCGGGGCTGGACCTGAGGGGGAGGTTTCTGGGGGCGAGCTGCACTTCCTGCCTGGGGTGCAAGTGGGCGATGGGGTCCACGTGTGCAGACTTCGTGCTCTGACTTGGTGACACACACACACAGGCCCGAGGACCGGGAGCAGCCTGCAGCCCATTCCCAGAGTCTCCGAGTGGGGGTGAGCTGGGCCCCGCCTCCAGTATCCGGGAGCCATTTGGGCCATTCGATGTGCTCCACATCCTCCATCCTTCCGGCCTGAAAGCGCCAGCCTCAACCCAGCCACCCTGGGCCCTGCCAGGGCCCCTCCCCTCTTCCATTCCATTGTCTTGACTCTCCCAGCCTCTATCCTACCTTCTCTTCCTGGCCAAGGAGTCTGTCTCCCCGGCTCCCAGGCCCCAGCCAGAGCCCCCCTCGAAGAACCCCCTCTTCTAGAAAGACCTCCATCCCCGCTCTCCCCAGCCAACAGCCCCACCCTCCAGGGTTCCTCCAGTCTGGGCACGGCCAGCCTGAGTCAGGCAGATCTGGGTCAGAGGAAATGGCCAACACCACCTAGAGGAGCGCAGAAGGAGCCTCGAGAAGAGGGCAGGGGAACTAGGGCTTTGTGGGATGAAGAGGAGTTCCCCATTTCAGGGACAGGCTACGTAAATCTTTGCAGGTGAGAGGGCCTGCAGCTTTGCCGGGAGCAGATGCAGCTCCCCAAGGCCAGCAGTGTGGGGGGAAGAGAATGTGGGACTGGGCTCCAGAGGCAGCCCTGAGAGATGCTTGGGCGGGGTGGGGAGGAGTGTTTGTTTGCTCCTGCTTCCTCTGGCCCAGATAAGGAGTGTCCTTTGGGGAGAGCGGGGCAGAGGGTGTGCATTTCATGGGGGTCTTGCTGTGACGCTGGGAGGCACGGGGCAGCTCGGAGCCCGGGGGAGGGTTGGGGGTGGCGGTGCGCCACAGATGGTCGGAGCAGAGGTCAAGCTCAGGATGCGCCCCCCATGGCTGTGGCTTCCGGTGGGGGCCCGCCAGAGTCGTTATTCTTAGCCCTGGACATGGCTACCGGCAGGAAGAGGCAGAGATGGGAGTGGTGGCAGCTTATGGGGTGAACTTGGAGCCAGGGCAGGGAGTCATGCCTGTTTACGCACCTGCTGGGTCCTCACTGCCCCCCATGCCCCTCTAGCCCTGGCCCACCTCCTGCCTTTTATCTTCCCCTGTCTCCTCTTTTTGTCCCCTTGTCCCCTCCTGCCAGGGCCAGGAGTGCCCCAGGGAGACTCCCTGCCTGACCCTGGGACCCAGTGAGCTTTTTATTTGGGGGGATGGTTGGGTCACACCCAGGTGCCAGGGTCCCTATGGTATGCCAGGGATGGAGCCCATGCAAGGCAAGCGCCCTCCCCGCTGTCCCATTGCTCGGGTCCCTCTGTCTGCTGATTTGGGTCAGGAGCACCTGACCCCCCTTTCCACACTTCAGAGAGAGAGGGCATGGGTCTAGGGGGCTCTCGGGCCTAGTAGGGAAACTGAGGCTGGAGAGCCCGGGTCTAATCCTGACTGCAGGTATGAATCTTGTGAGCCGACCCCAGGAGGAACCAAGCTCTGGGCCAGAAAATGCTTCTGGATCCCAGGCACGATGCAATACTGCCAATCTAATTGCTCAGGCACTCAGCAATCAACCAGTGATGTCTGTCTGGCATGGGTGTGGCTCAGGGTAGCGGGTATGTACACCAGCCTGCATCACCCAGCATATATCCACCCCAGTGTGCTTGACACACACACACACACACACACAGAGCCTGGCTGGGCCTCAGCAGGGGTCTGCGCACCACATCAGGGCCAAATTGTTGGGGTGTGGGGACCGTTCCAGGAACCATGAGGAATGAACAGCCCCTCCTCCCCCCGCCTGGGCAAGAGAACCCCACAGGAGGCCAGCAGCCACCTTGGGAGCTGTCGCCCTTACGCGTGTGCTTGCTGGGGCCCATGGGTGACATATTTTGTTTTGGGGTCATATCCGGAGAAACTCCGGGTTCACTCCTGGTGGGGCTCTGGGGACCCAGGGATCACACCCTGGTTGGCTGCGTGGAAGGCAGCGCCCTCCCCCGGCTGTGCCATTGCTCTGGCCGGCTATTGCGGTCCTCGTACATGACTTTCTTGGGGCCAACCCGGGTTCGATCTGACACTTCACAGCTCCAGAGTCTACTGCCAGGAATGATCCCTGAGTACTGGGCGTGGCCCCCAAACCAAAACCCAAAGGAAACCTCAACCAAAAAGCACCCTCAAGGGCTGGAGCGATAGCAGTGGGTAGGGCATTTGCCTTGCACACGGACGGCCTGGATTCAATTCCCAGCACCCCATAGGGTCCTCCGAGCACTGCTAGGAATAATTCCTGAGTGCACGAGCCAGGAGTAACCCTTGTGCGTCACCGGGTATGACACCCCCGCAAAAAGAAAGCACCCTCAAAAGCCTGAACTAAAAAAGGCTTGGCTGTGATTCCCGCCAGCAGCCACCCACAGGGACACCTGGCTGGTCGCGACTGTCTCCCGAGCATTTCCGAGATCCTCCAGTTACCTCAAAATAAAACGTTTATTAAAAAACCATGCACTCTTGCCATAGAACAATGAAATGAAAATAAGATTTTTTTTTCTCCACCTAGAAAAGTCGTTAGAGCGAGAAGTGCAGATGTCCTGGGGAGTGCCGGGGGTGGGGGTGGGGGCCCCGGGCCCAGGCTGTGGTGACGCAGGAGGTTTCCAGAATCCCAAGTCAAGAGAGTCAGTGCCGAAGGCTGCGGGGGGCACCCTGGAAGGCAGCTGACCCAACGTGGGGGGCTCCCTGGAGGCCCCGGACCCAGCAGGGTGGGGGAGGGTTTGGCGCCCACCTTGCTAGCCACCGAGGCCACTAGAGGCTCTTGGCTTTTGCCCTGATGGGGGGATGATGATGGGACCAAGGTGGGGTAATCGGTGGGACTGAGTGCCCATAATCTTCTGGAAGGTGCAGAGCAGGAGGAGGGGGTGGGCCCTCAGGCTGCTGCTGGCTGCTCTGATCTTGGCGGTCTGAAGGCCACGAGTCCCTGGATGGGGCCGCGTCAACGGCGGTAGCGGTAGCGCTTGAAGTGAAACCAGAGCTGGAAGATGCCGTTGGCGAACTGGCAGCGGAAGCCGTGGCGGTGCGAGTATTCCCACTCGCGGCTGACGATCTTAAAGGCGATGTCCTCGTAGGGCGGCCCCGCGTGGAAGCGCAGCGTGGCGAAGTCCCGGTTGTCGGCGCAGGCCTCCAGGAAGTACTCGGGCGTGGAGCGCTTGTCGATGAGGTCGGGGTAGAAGATGTTGAACTTGTAGCCCTGCACGATCTTGGGCGGCGGGTTGTCGAAGTCGTAGTGCGTCTGGTTGTACTTGTTCCACTCGAAGCCCGTGTGCACGCGGTTGAAGAAGCGCGGCTTGCGCGGCCGGTACTTGTCGGCCCACAGGTAGGCCTTGCCCGTCAGCGGCATCTCCACGCTGAACTGCGCCTCGTCCTGCCCCATGCCCTCCTTGGCCCGCCGGAAGAAGATGTCCTCGGCGCTCTCGCTGGCGTCACCTGAAGGGGGTGGGCATTAGCTGGGGCCCTGGCCCCTCTCGCCCATCAGAAGAGGCCGACAAGAGCACCTGCATCCTGCGGGCCGCTGGGCTCAGAAGGGGTGGGGGCGGGGGGCGGGATGGGAGGAATGAGGGTGGGAGGGGTGAGGAGAGGAGCGGCGGGATGGGGCAAAGAGGGGGGCTGGGGGGACCGGGGCGCTGGGGGGGAGGGGCGAGGAGGGGAGGGCGGTGCCGCGCACCTGTGACCTGCAGCTGCTGGCGGGACAGCTGCAGGCGCTGCAGGTCCTCGTGCGGCTCCAGCACGTGGGCGTCCAGGGGCAGCTCGTGCGCGGTCAGCAGCCGGGGGCTGTACTTGCCGGCGTCGTAGTCGTCCAGGCTCTGCTGGATCAGGTCCTCCTCCATGAGCACGGCCTCCCCGTCCGCCTCGCCCTCGGCTGGTGCGGTGCCGTCGGCCTCCGCCTCCGCGGGTGCGCCGTCCGAGGGCCCGGGGGGCGTGGGGGCCGGCTCTTCGGGGTCCAGGCTGCGGGCGGGGCGGGCACACAGGGTGAGTTGGTGGCAGGGGAGGGGGGGCACCCCGGAGGGTGCCCCGGAGGCGGCGGGCTGAGGCAGGTGGGGGGCGGGGCCTACCTGGGGCTGGGGGACGGGGGCTCCTGCTTGAGGATGGGGAAGAGGGGCTCGCTCTCCACGCCCTGCTCCTGCTTCAGCTTGTACAGCTTCTGCCGCAGCACATCCTGGTGCCGCTCACGCAGCCTGCGGGGCGGCCAGAAGGTCACTCCAGCGTCTCGGGCGCCGCCCCGCCCCGCCCCACCTCGCCCCTGCCCTGCCAGGCCCGGGGCGCGGGCGCTCACCGGGCACGGGCCATGTGCGCGCGCAGCTGCTGCAGGAGGCTCTCCCAGTAGCCCATGTCCAGGTTGGGGCCCCCCCGCGCGGATCTTGCCCTCGATGCCCTGGAAGATGACCCGCAGCTGGCTGTAGGTCTTCCCCTTGAACACCGACTGCACGTCCGAGCTGACCGAGGCGTTCACGCCCTCCCGCCGCTCCCCTGCAGAGGGTGGAGGGGCGCACAACGGTCCCTGCCAGGCCCGCCCCGCGCTGGCCTCCCGGGCAGCCCGTCCAGCACGGGGGCGTCTTGATCCCTCCTGGTATAAGCAGCCCTACCCCTCCGGACCAGCCTCTGCGCGCAGGGCCTGCCCCGCCTGGCACCCCCGGGAAGCCCTTCCTGAGGGCGCACTGCCCTTGCCCTTCCGGGGCTTTCAGCTGGTCTCCCGCTCTGGGCAGTGTGGGCAGCAGTCACCTCCTGGATCCAAGAGCGCCTGTCCCAGCCCCGCGGCCGGGAGGCTGCCCACAGACAGGGTGGAGGACACGCACCCCACAGCACCCCACCCCCCCTGCATCCCAGCATCCAGAAACTTCCCCTTCAAGGGGCACCTGCCGGGGTGTAGCCTGGACTGGGTGCCTGGTGGGCTGGGCACAGTCGCCCCCCCAGGCCAGCCCCCTGGGAGTGACCCAGGCCTACACGGAGGGGGCCCCCACCTCCCTCAGGTCTCTTGGGTGCTTGAGTCATCCGTGCCCCACGGCTCTGCCAAGAACATGCAGATGGGCAGTTCCGACCCAGTGAGCAGGAGGAGGGGGGTTCCCCCGGTTCCCCCGGGAAACCTCAACCCAGCCCGAACCCTGGGGTGCGGCTCCCTAAGGCGGCACCCTCATCACAGCAGGAAGCCACTGCTTCTGCTGCCCCCTAGTGGCGGCTCCATGGCGCTGGGAGCGCAGCGGAGACCCCAGATGGGGGACATGAGGCAGTGGGCGGGGCCTCGGCACTGGGTGCTCCTGTGGCGCATGCCTGGGGTGTCTCGGCCCCCTGGCCTGGCCCTTGCCCCCCCCCACGGCGGTATCTGATCCCACCCCCCCCCGCTGCCCCCCCATAACCTGGCCCCTTGCCCCCTGGCAGTTACCTGGCCCCTTGCCCGAGGCCTCGAGCTTGCGGAGCTTGGAGATCTCGTCCTCCGTGATGATGGTCATGTCCCGCCAGAAGTCGGCGTTCTTGCCCTGCTCCAGCTCCATGTACACCTGCGGGGCAGGCGGGTGAGGGCCCGGGGGACACAGGCAGGGGAGGAGAGGGGCCGCGGGGTCAGGCGGGTGCGGGCCCGGGGTCCGGCCGCCGCGGGCAGCACCTGAATGTCCTCCAGCAGGTCCTCCATGTCGGCCACCGTCAGCCCGTTGAGGAAGCTGTACGGCTCGTGCATCTCCACCGCCAGGTCGTCGTCCTCGGCGCTGATGTACTTGGCCAGGAGGTCGATGGGTTTGGCGCGCCCGTCTCGGATGCGGATTTTGGAGCTGTGGGAGAGAGAGTTGGGGGTTGGGGGTGAGCATCAGCAGTGCGCGCCCACCCTCAGATGAAAGCATCAGCATGAGCAGGGTGCCTGGGCAGGCTTCCTGGAAGAGGCAACACTGGGAAGCCGCGCTGGGCAAGGTGTGCAGGAGGGTGGTGGCAGGAAACTCAGGGGGCAGGCAGGCGAGGAAGGGACTGGGGCCTCCTGGGAAGACGGGACGCCCGCCCCCGCCCCCCCCCCCCCCCCCAGGCAGGGCAGGGCCGCCGCACCGCAGCTTGGCCTGCTGGAGGTGGAAGCTGTCCTCCTGCTCCTCCCACGTCTTGAAGTGCTCGGCCTCCTTCTCCCGCTGCAGCAGCTCCAGCTCCTGCTCGCGCATGGCCTTCTCCCGCTCCCTCTCCAGCCGCAGCTGCTTCACCTGGGCACGCACACCCGCTCAGGCCGGGGTCCCCGGGGGACGAGGGCGCAAGAGGGGCTGCAGGGATGCCCGAGGTGCAGACCGGGTAAACGGCTGGGAACCCTGAGCCTGGACCCAGCCGTGCCTGAAGCCACACCCATGGACCTCCCACAGCTGCAGCAAGGGGGAGCCTGCCCTGGGGACCCTGGGAAGGCAGGCCGCCGGCCGTGTGGGGTGCGGCCCGGAAGCCCACCTTCTGCAGCTCCAGCCGATTGTCTTCCTGGATCCTCTTGTTCCGCTCCTTCAGCTCCTTCTCCTCCAGGTGGCTGATTCCCTTCTTCTCCAGGGCCTGGGGGGATGGGACGAGCACACGCTGCGCAGGGGCCTCCCGCCTGCGTCGCGGGGCCCCTGGCATTGTGAGAGCACCCCCTAGTCCCTTTGGGGAGGCCCCACATCTGAGCTTGTCTACCACATGGCACTGGGCCTGAGAAGCTGGGGCAGTGTGTGGGCACGTAGGGTGCTCAGAGCTCACCCCTCAGCCCTTCTCACACACACACACACACACACACACACACACAGCCTTGAGGGGGGTGGGTAGCAGCAGGGCAGCGAGTGGGGCGTTTGACAGGCTGGATTTCTGACAGCCAGCATGCCCCATGCTGGCTCCTTGCCCCAGTGCTCCCGGGTGTCATCTGTGCCCTGGAGAATCTCTCTGCAGTGCTCTTCCACCCTGAGACAGTGATGGTGATGTAGAAAAGAAAGCCTGGGGTGCAGAGACAGGTAGGAGACAACAGGGACGTGGGGAGCAGGTGCGGGCACCGAGGCCGGGCTGTTAGGGGTGCAGCTGCAGCTGAGGCTGCCAGCAAGCCTGAGGAAGGGTCCTGGGCTGCAGACTGGGGGATCCTGGTGCTCCCTGCTCAGGGCCCCTACAGAATCAACTGTGCTGTGCCCCCAGCACGGATGCGAGCTCATGGCTGGTTTGGAGGTAAAACCTGCCTGGAATTCTGCAGTTTATTTCTGGGCCACAGCCAGGGCTGACGTCTGGCTCTGCGCTCAGGGGACTCTATGGGATGCCGTACTTTGAACTGGGTTGCTCGCATGCACAGTAACCCCCTCTCGCTGTGCCATGGCTCTGACCCCATAGGTCACCTAGTACCCGCTGTAGGGCGCATTCCCATGGGGCTCGGGGCTGCGGGCACCGACCCAGGAGGACTAGTTGGGGGGCGGGGCAGCCTGGCCCAGGCAGGGATCAAATCTGGGGTCTCTGCCCAAACAAACTCAGCCGACGCTAAAGCCCGAGCCCAGGCTTCCTGGCAGAGGAAGACGCCATCCCCCACCCGTAGGCGGACACCAGAAGTTCTTGGTTGGTCTGGCGCTGGGGACCCCAGATGCATCCTGCAGTGCTCTGGGTCATCTCCTCATGAACTGTTCGGTTGGGGGTGGGGTGGGGCTGCACTGCTCGAGGCCACTCTCCGCTGAGCCCACGGACCTCGCCAGGCACCGTAGTAGCCTCTGCCTGCAGCCCTGCCCTGCAGGCCCCACCCCACAGGCCCCGCCCACAAGCCACACCCGCGCAGGCCCCGCCCCACCTTGTTCCAGATGAAGGTGCCCAGCAGGTTGTTGTCTCCGAAGGGGTTGTCGGTGTTGGTGTAGCCCATGTACTCCTCCCCCCAGCCCATCTTCTCGCGCTTCTTGCGCTCCTTGGCGTCCTTCTTGGCCAGCCTGCGCGCGCGCTTCTCCTCGGGCGTCTCGAACGCCTTCATCAGCTCCTCCTGCTGCTTGCGCTCCTCCCGCAGCCGCAGCCGCTCCTGCAGGGCCCGCTGCCGGCTCAGCGCCGCCGCCTCACGCGGGCTGGGGGAGCCGCTGGGGGACGCCGAGCTGGACGCCGAGGAGGACCCCGGAGACCACGAGTGTGCCCGGCGCCGCCGCCGCCGCCGCCCCCCGCGCCGGCGCTGCAGCCGCGGCTCCTCGTCGGAGGCCACATCCGAGGAGCGGTCCAGGGAGCGCCGCGGGCTGCGGCTCTGTCGGCCACGGCCCCGCCACTGCTCGTCCTCCGACTCCGACCTGCAGGACACGCGGCAGCCGGTCACAGGGAGGTAGCCGGACGGCGCTGCACGCACGGGGGGGAGGCGGGGACGTGCGAGGCGGGAGAGAGGGGGTCCAGCCAGGAATGGGGAGAGTAGGGTGGCCGGGTGGGGCAGGCAGGGGTGTCCGGGTGGGTTCCAGAAGAAGCTGCTGATTGAGCAGGGCCATCAGCATGGGGCAGGGAGGAAGCCTGTGGGCAGACACTACAGCAAGCACAGTGCAAGGATGACAGAACCCCTGAATGCTCCAGGAAGCTACCGGTTCTCTTCTAAGCCCCCTCCTCCTGATGAAGATCACACCTCCTCCCCCAAATCAGGCCTAAAACTGGACCATGCGATGTAATCCAAATCAAAAGGCGACAGGCTGTCCCTCACTTTTAGGAACAGGCCAAGAGCTGGGGGGAGGCCTGGTTCTATTTCCCGCATCAATTATAGTTCCCGGAGCACTGCCAGGGGTCACTCCTAAGCATAGTGCCAGGAACATTCCCGGACTCCAGCGGGGTGTGGCCCCCCAACCACTGCCAACCCAAACAATAGTGACCTTGTAGAGAACTTCAATTCACAATTACTCTGGCAACAATAAACTGGACTGTCAACTAATTGGAGTAACCCTCCTTACTTCCGGTGGAGACTGACCCTACCCTGCGGCCCTCAGGGCTGACCTCGGGGCTCCTGTCAGCAGAGACTCAGCCCAGTGGTCCCCAAACTCCTCCTACAGGGCTGAAGGCTGCTGACCCCACTGAGCACGAGAAGCAAACTCCCTGTGCAAAGGGCCAGTCCCTTTGCATTCCCTGGTGCTGGGACAGTCACCTGTGACAGTGGTGGAGAAGCTTCAAGATGGCCCTGGACAGCACTTCAACAGGTAGGCACAGCCGTGTCCCCAGTGGAAGACGGAAACGGAGGGCAGCACGCCTACCCTCACCCTGTGTCCCCCACTATACAGCAGTGATCAGGCCCAGGGCAGAGACAACAGGCTGCTACAGCTCCCTGGACCACGGCAGGGGCCTTGTCCCAAGCAATGAGCAGGGCCAGAGAGGACCCCAATATGACAAAGAAACCCTTCACTTGGGGCAGCAGCGATAGTCCAGAGGGGAGGGCCTTGCTTTGTATGTGGTTGACCTGGGTCCAATCCCTGGCACCCCCAAGAACTACCAGGTGTGATCCCTGAGCAGAGCCAGGAGTAAGCCCTGGGCATCACTGGGTGTGGCCCCCCAAACAAAATAACAACTATAACAACACGTCATAAGAAACTGCGGGACTGGAGTGATAGCACAGCGGGTAGGGCATTTGCCTCGCATGTGGCCGACCCAGGTTCGATTCCCGGGATCCCATAGGGTCCCCGGAGCACCGCCAGGAGTAATTACTGAGTGCATGAGCCTGGAGTAACCGCTGTGCATCGCTGGGTGTGACCCCCCTCAAAAAAAAAATAGAAATATCTGACTGCCATCATTCAAAATAGTGAAACATGGATTTCACATAGGTCCACCCCCTCATTTAAAAAGGGGAAAACCTGGGGCTGGAGAGAAAGAACAGCGGGTACAGCGTGTGCCTGTCCCGTCTAAGCTGGGTTTGATCCCTGGAAATCCATAGGGTCCCTCAAACCTCGCCAGAAGTGACTCCTAAGTGCAGAGCCAGGAGTAAACCGGAGCACGGTGGGGTGTGGCCCCCAAACAAAAAGTGGAAACTCTTCTGGGTTCCCACCTGTACTTGGCTGAACCCTGATCTCAGCATCTCCACTTTATTTGTTCGGGTTTTCCTGGGGGGGTGTTTGGAGACTACTCCTGGATTAATACTGGGGAACAGTGCGGGGAGGAGAGAAGCACCCGGCAGAGCTGACCCTGGGTGCTGCTGGAAGTGGCCTCGAAGCCAAACCAAACCTCTGCCTCTTCCAGCTCTGATTGGCAAGACTGGCGCCGCTCCGGGGGTCCCTGGCGCTGTCCCCGCCACCCTCCAGCCAGACCATCTCCTCGTGTCCTGCTCAAAGTGCGAGCCGGAGAAGTTGGGCGAAGTTTAGTCCGGCCCGGTCACTCCCGGGACTCTCCGCGTCACGGACCAAGCCTCTCTCGCGGGACGGCACACCTGCGTTCCCATCGCTTCTCCGACCGCGTCTACACATCCCCGAGTCTCCCGCCTTCCCCGGGCGCTCCTGGCGACGTCCTCCGGCCCAGACAGCTCCCCCAAGAAGGTCTCCCGGACTTCACCAAGAGGGTCTCGACTCCCCGGACGGAGAAACCCGTCGCGGCAGAGTCCCATACCTGCGCTCCGGGCTCTGTCGCCGCCGCCGGCGCCTCCCTTCGTTGTCCCGGCGCCGCCGGCTTCGCCGCCCATGGCTTCCGCTCCGGCTCCGGCTCCGGCTCCGACTCGCGCTGCGGCTCCGCTGTCTTCGGCTCCTGCGACCCACCGACCGCGATCGCGAGCGTGTGTCGCGACCCATCGGCTGGGAAGCGGGCGGCGACGGCGGGGGCAGCGACGCCGACTCGATTGTCCGGGGCCTGTGCCGGGGGCCTTCCTCGCCCGCGGCGCGCGTCGGGCTGCCCAGCTCGTGCCTGAACCGGGACATCGGAACCCATCCTGCCGCCCGCTGCCTCGCCGAGTCCGGCGTCTCGTGACCCCTTACTGCCCGCAAACATGACCCGCAGGGAGGACGCCGGTTGGACTGGCGGCCTCGGTTGCGGAACTCGCTGTAAGGCAATGCCGCGGGCAGCCCGGCTGGGGACGCGAGCCTCCGGAGGGGGGACTAGGAAGCGGTGGGCGGAGCCAGGGCCAGAGGGGCGGGACCTTGGGAGGCGGGGCCAGAAACGGGGTCCTGGGAGGAAGTTGAGCCGTCGGGAGTGTGGCCCAGGAGGCGGGACTATAAAGGGCGGCGTTTCATTGGGTGTGCCGTCGGGAGGCGGGACCAGAAGGTCCCGGAAGTGGAGCTAGCATGGGCGGGTCCCAAAGAAGGCGGAGTTAGAAGGGCGGATCCAAGGAGGCGAGCCGGCAGGTACCACAATAGCATCTTAGATAGAGGGCGGGCAGCTCCAGGAGGGGGCGGTGGGTTCTGGCACAGCCTGAAAAAGCCTGATTCTAAGGTGCCCTGCGGTGAGAGTCGCCTTCTCGCTCTACTTTTACCTATGAATGAGTGGGTGTTTCTGGGGTCAACATAGCTTGAGGGAAAACGAGCTCCAAGAGGGATGGTCACTCTCCGTAGCTCTTTCTGCTGCCTCTGAGGTTGCCTGTGGCTGGCATTTGGCCTTGGTGGGGCAGCTTTGCACTTTGTTGCAGAGCAGTGGGATAAACAAGGGATCTAGGGTAGGATGGGCTCTGAAGTCCTGCTTTGGTCTCGTTGGAGCCACATCTAGCAGTGCTGAAGGAATTCAAACTGGGGTCTGCCCCTTGTGGTGCCAGCACCTTGATAACTCTTCTCTCTTCAACCAAATTTTTGGGGGGAGCACACCTTGCGGTGCTCAGAGATTATTTCTGGCATTTGTGCTCAGGGATCACTCCTGGCAGGCTCTGGGGACCCCATCTAGGATGCTGGTTATTACCCTACCAACAGCATTATCGCTGCGGCCCCTCCAACCCAATATTTAATACTGACCTACAGCTCCATTGGCAGCAAGGTGTCAGGTGGGGAGATGGCAAGAATGACACCTTGGGGACAGGACCCCCCCCAAACCTCCACCCCAAAAATAAACCATTCATCATGGATGTGTGTGCAAATTTGCAGGGCTATGTGGCCCCCAGAAAGTGGTGTGTGGCCTAATCTTCAAAAGGCGGCTGCATCCTTGGGGGTGCTTGAAACCTTAAGATTTTTGGGGGGGGGTGTGGAGGGGAGCCTTGCAAACTGTGCACTAGGGGAGACCTCTGAAGAGGGCCTTGAAGTAGGGGACTAACCCCTTGAGCTGCCCCAAGAAGCTCATGGAGGGATAGATGCATTGCCTGCAGAGGGGCCGCATGCTGGGAGAATTCTGAGCCTGAGATTCAAGCCAGGGAGGATCTTTCATTTTGGGGACACACCTGGTGGTGCTTGGGGCTGATCCCGGCATGATGCTCAGAGCTCACTCTGGTGGTGCTGGGATGGAGGGACCATGCAGTGGTGGGGACAGACCTAGGGGCTGTAGAATGCTGAGCCAGCGCCCCTGCCACCCTACCCCCAAGTTGTCTCCCTGCTCCTACACTTGGGACCCTATGTTCCACAAGCGTTCCAGAATAGGAGTCTGGGATCAATTCTCCCCCCTTCTCAAGAAGGGATCCTTGTTTAGTCCCATCTGTTCTGGCTGAACAAACATTAACTCCTGCTAAGCTGGAGCTGCAAAGTCACAACTGTTTAGTTTGGGGGCCACCCCTGGCAGTGCTTAGGGCTGACTCCTGGAGGTCTCCAGGGACCCTCTGGGATGCCAGGGATCGAACTGCAGTTCACCATGTGCAAGGCAAACACTCTACCCACTATACTATCACTCCAGCTCACATTGTTTTTTTTTAATTGGGATTGAGGTTGGGATTTGGGATGCCACCAGAGATGCCTGGGGCCTGCTCCTGTCTTGGTTTCTTGTGGATTGTTCTGCTTGGCAGACAGTTTGGTGCTCCTGCAAATATGAGGATGAAAGCCAGGCACCGACAGCAAATTCGAAGCCTGGTTCAGCCCTTAGCCAATTTCCCGGCCTCAGGCACAGCTCTCGAGACTGTCAGGTCCAGTAATCTTATTATTTAAAGTCGTATTAATGCTTTTTTTTTTGCTTTTTGGGTCACACCTGGCAATGCACAATGCACAGGGGTTACTCCTGGCTCATGCACTCAGGAATTACTCCTGGTGGTGCTCAGGGGACCATATGGGATGCTGGGAATCGAACCCGGGTCGGCTGCGTGCAAGGCAAACGCCCTACCTGCTGTGCTATTGCTCCAGCCCCTAATGCTCCTTTCTGTTCCCGTTCAAAGCCAGGCTTCAGGTGAGCCTGGCTCTACATGTGTAAGGCTCCCATTTTTCCAAGAATCAGAGCTATAATACAGTGTGTGTGGGTGTGTGTGTGCGGGACGGGGTGCCTGCCTTGTACGCAGTCACAACAGGGGAAATGGATTTGATTCCCAGCATCCCATAGGGTCCACTGAGCACCACCAGGGTGATTCCTTAATGCAGAGCCAGGAGTAATCCCTGAGCACTGCTGTGTATGGGTCCCCCCCCCAAAATCTAAATAGTTTGTTTTCAGTGCTGGAGTGATAGTACAGTGGGGAGGATGCCTACCTTGCACGCAGTCAACCAGGGTTTGAACCCTAGCACACCCGCAGGGCCCCCAGAGCCTGCCAGGGGTGATCCCCCAGTGCCAGGAAGAAACCTTGAGCACCACTGGGTGTTAGCCCCAAAACAAAACAAAACAGTTTTTCCAGGGCCGCAGCAATACTACAGTTAATCCCCAGCCCCCCATTTGGGCTGCGCCCAGAGCCTGCAGGAGTCATTCCTGAGTACAGAGCCAGGAGTAAGCCCCGAGAACTGCCAGCTGTGGCTCAAAAGCCACTCTGTCGCTCTCCTCCAGTTGTTCCTCGATTTGTTCGAGCGGGCCCAGTAACACTGTGAGACTTGTTACTGTGTTTGGCATATCGAATACATCATGGGTAGCTTGCCAGGCTTTGCCGCGCGGGTGATACTCTCGGTAGCTTGCTGGGCTCTCCGAGAGGGACAAATGAATCCAATCTGGGTTGGCCAGTCGGCTGCGTGCAAGGCAAACTCCCTACCCGCTGTGCTATCGCAAAAACCAAAAATAAATACCAAAAAAAAAAAAAAATCCAAGTAAGTCCTTAAACTCCCAACAGACCCCCACCCTGAACCCAGAGAGGCGCCTTGGCTGTTCAGGACCTGATTTATTAGGGAGATCTCATGGACGTAAAAACGGGGTTGGAGGGGCAGGGGGCGCGCACATACCGGTGCTCTCGGGGCCAGCAGTGGCTGTGGGTCATACGGGAGTCCTGGGCTCTGGGAGTGAGACCCGGGACGACGGCACCCCGCGACCCAAGAAGCCAGATTGTCAGACACGGAACCGGACCACCGGGGGTCAGGTAGGGAGGGGTAGTCGGAACCGCGAGAGGTGGTGGTGGGGGGGATGAAGACACACGAGGTTTGGGGGTCTCCTTGTGTTTCGGAAATAGGTTCACCGTCAGAGACAGAGGACGGGCGTGGGGACGTGGAATGGGAGACGAGGGTCTGTCCGGCGAGGCAGGACGAGGGGTCGTAGCGTGGGGTCCCCCAGGCTGGGCGGGAATATTGCACTGGGCTGGGCGCTGGAGGGAGTGGGGGGGCATACACCCCCTCCCCGTCGGGTCTCCAAAGGGGCCCGTCGCCCGCGCACAGACGGATCCCCGGCCCCACACAGGCTGGGGCGCAGACAGTTCCCTCCTGGGGCGCGGGGCGCGCTGGGGTCCGGCTGCACCGTCTCTGCCCAGGGACGCCGGTCGCACCCTGAGCGTGTCTCCCAGGGGTCTTCCACGGGACTCAGCCACAAAAATAGAAACGTCTGCTATGGGCAGGGTGGAGGTCAGGGGCAGCGGGGTCAGGCCCCCAGCCCTGGTGCCTCCCATCCAGAGGACTCCCCCACCCATGGCTCCAAGTTCTCGACGTTGGAGGGGGCCTCCAGGAGGCCTGGAAATCCGGGTGAGGTGCGGGGGCCCCGGGGTCTGCACAGACATTACTGGGGTGGGGGTGGCGGCGGGATCTGTGCTGGGGCATCAGATCCCGCAGGATGATCCGAGGAGCTGCGGGGGTGGGGGTGGGGGAGGTCTCCTCTGGGCGGAGTTCCTTCCAGAAAGTTCCATAAGGTTCGCCAGCTCCTGGGCCCTGAAGGTGGGGGGAAGGTGACCCGACGTATCCGGGTGGTCTCTGCTGCCGGCAGCCCCCCTCCGACGTGGCCAGGCTGCCCGGCCCCAGGCTTGCGGGGCTGGGGGTGCTTCTGCTGTCAGATCCAGAGGAAGCAGGGCCCGGCCCCGGAGTTCCGTTTCCCTTCTGCAGGTGGTGGGGTGCACCCACTGATCAGGAGCGCCCCTTCCTCCCAGCGGGCCTCTGCTGCCGTCCCACGCGGCTCCTCCTGGCCTAGCCACTCTTCCAGAAGCTTCTGTCCCGAGAAAGGGCATTGGCGCTCCAGAAGGGGGCATCTGCTTGTCCGTTGGGGGGGGTCCAGCACCCCCTCGGAGATGCAGGATGGAGTGGGGGGGTGAGGGCACCAGGTCCCAGAGGCCTGGCCGGGTGCCTGCAGACAAAGCGGAGACCCCTGTGCTGGGCCGGGCCAGGGGGCGCGCATCTCCCCCGCCCCAAGACGTTTCCCCGATGTGTTGCTCTTGGCGTCTTCTTTTAATTTTTTTTTTCCCCTTGACTTAACTTTTTTTTCCCTTTTCATTTTTCTTAAAAAAAAAAAAAAGAAAGAAACCGCACGTGCGACATCTGTGCAAAGAGCTGGGACCCGAATAAATAGGAGCCGGGGACGCTGGGGGGCGGCGGCGGCGCACGGCATCACAGGCGCGGGCAGCGAGCTCCGGGGGTGGCCGGGGTCTGCGTGGAAGTTACTGAAGGAAGCAAGAGGGGCAGTGAGGGTCGTCCGCGGGGCGGGGGTCATGGCGGCCCCCGACCCACAGCAGCTCCGCGACGCCCGACACCGCCCGCCCCGCCCCGCCCCGCCCCCCCAGCCGCGTGTCCACCAGCTGGCGGGGGCAGTGGGGACCTCACGGGACCCGGGCCAGCCACTTACTGTGTCACTCTCGCCGTCGGAGGCCGGGCGGGCCGGGGCGCTATAGTGGAGCGGGGAGTACACCCAGCTCCGGTCATCGGCGGGCTGGCCGGCCGCGGGTGGGCAGGAGCGCGCGCGTGCGGGGCGGAGGAGCAGGGTGGAGGCGCGACAGAGCAGAGGGAGAAGGAAGAGACAGAAATAAAAGTGCGAACCCCCCGCCCCCGCCCCCAACGCAGGGCACGCGGGAAGGGAGGGGGCGGCCGGGCCCTGTCCTCCCCGATGGGGGCCTGCCCCCCAGCCGGGCGGACCTGGCCCGGGGTCCGAGGGGCGGGGTCAGGGCGGCAGGCAGGAAGCGGTTAGTGGGAGAAGGCGTGGAAGGGGAGGCGGGTCGCGCCCGGCTGCTGGACTCCTGGACTCCTGGACTCCGCTGGCCACCCGCAGCCCAGCCACTTGCCGAGCCCCGGCTACCCCCGGGGCACTGTCCTGGGGGCTGGACGGTGCGGTGGGCGCCCCCCTCCCTGCTCTGGGAACAGGGAACCCGGGGCGGCCACCCGCGCTCCATAGGAGGCAGTTTCCAGCGAGGGTCCGGGGGACAGGGGTCTCCTTCCTGCTGCCCACAGGGACCGACGCACCTGGAGCTCCCGCCCAGACCCCACACCCCACACCCCTTCGTGCCCACAGCTCAACTCTGAGCTCAGGTGCTCCCTGGACCCTGCCCCCCCCAATTCCCCTGGGGTCCCTGGCCCCTGCTCCCTGAAGCTTTGGGGGATGCCTGCGCTGGGTGAGGGGTACCAAGGCCAGGCTGTGTCCAGCTGCAGATAGACCCATTGGTACCCAGGTGGCCTCGCTCTGCTCCAAAGCGAGTCATTCTCTTCCCCCCTCTCCAGAGGACCCAGAGGGTCCTGTTTGGAGGCTGCTCCCTGGTGCCCACAGCTCAGCGATGAAGCCTCCACTTAATCCCCCCAAGAACGGAGCCCAGGATATCGGCCACTCGGGAGTAGGGACCCCCACTTTCCCCTCTGGATTGTCCATGCTAATTTCTTTCCAGGAAAACTATTTCACTGGGGCCAGGGCCATCATGCAGTGGGTAAGATGAGCTCACAGGAGTGATCCCCGTGTGCAGCCAGGAGTCGGCTCTGAGCACCCCAAGTATGGTCCCCCAAACTGGACGAAGGGAGGTGGAAGAGGGGGAGGAGGGGGAAGGGGGGGAGGAGAGGGGGGGGGAGGGAGAGGAGGGGGAGGAGGAGGAGATCAAAGAGACAGTACAACTTTTAGGGCATTTGCCATGCTGTGCTGGACATGAGTTTGATCCCTACTAGCCCATAGGGAGCCCCCAGCACCACCAGGAGTGACCCACACCAGGGAGTGTGGCCCCCAAACAGTGGGCACCCAGGGAAGGCAGAGTGTGAGGTCGCACACTCAAACTGGTCCAGGGGGCGTGTCCCCCACAACTGTCCAGTCTTGGGGGTCAATCAGACTTCTGCAATCCAATCTCTTCCTCCCGCCAGCGCCCTGCCCCTCCCCCCGGGCAGCCCTGCGTTCCCTGGGCCGCGGTACCCCCACTAGGGAGGGCAGAGGACAGGGACCGCCAGCTGCTCCAGGGGCATGCTGTGCTGCATGGGGAGGTTGGTTTGGCCTCTCTAGGCCGGTTTCAAAGCACCAGAAGCAGCCCCGGCAAGGCGTCTGTCCAGCTGCAAAGCCAGGGAGTGAGGGGCCTCAGATTTCTAAACAATCTTAGGGTGCGGGGAGCCCAGGCCTTGGGGCTCATCTGTGAGGAGTGGAGGGGCCGAGGGGGGCAGCCTAGCTCCCCGCCCTCCTCCTGAGCGCGGGCACCTTGGCGGGGGTCCCTGGATGGCCTCTGGCCCACAGCGAGGCGCACACCTGTTCCCCCAATCCTGCTTCGTCTCGGGGCGGGGTCTGCGGTTCTCCCCCGCCACCCCCCGGGGGTCCACCGCGTCACTTACACGCCCCGATCAGCCCGCAGTAAATCCAAAACCTCCCATCCGAGAACTGGGGGCGCGGGCCGCGCGGAGGAAGCAAAGGAGAGCACAGGGTGAGGGGCCAGGGTGGGGGGGGGGCAGGCAAGTGGGGATCCAAGCGGGGGGGGGGGGGCTGGGCCCCCCGGGGGGGCCGGGGCCACCGCCTGGGTGCGCACCCCCTGGGGGCCCAGCCCGTGCTGGGGCAGGCGGGGAGATACAGAGCAGGATGGGGGGAGGGGTGTTAGTCTGGGGGGCTGTGCTGGCCCGCCGCCGCCGCCCAGGCCCGGGCTGGGGTCTCAGGAGCCCACTTTGGGGGGCTGTCCCGCCGGCTCACCTGGCCCTGCCTAGCCTAGGGGGGGCGCAGGGGTGGTGGGAGGGCAGCCGGAAGATGCCATCCAGGCTCCCCGCAGCCTGTCCACGCCCCCCTTGCCCCTCTCCCTCCCCCACCTCAATGCGGGGCTCAGAGGTTGGGGATTTGGGATGACCCCAGGGTGTCCCCGCCCCCCCCCGCCCATCCCCCAGGTATGGAGGGTCCAGGGCACGGTTTCAGGCCCAGAACGAGGACCAGAAGTTTTCCGGGGGGCCTCGACATGGGTGCGGGTGGCTGCAGGTGCTGGGGTGCGTGTGAATACCGGGGTGAGAACAGGAGCGCTCGTGTGCGTGTGCGCGCCCACGTGTGCGAGCGTGGTCCTGTGCACGCGCTACCACGCGTGCGGCCCAGTTTGCATGTGTGCGCGCACAAGACGTGTGTGTGCGTATGTGCAGCAGTGCCCGTGTGGGCGCGAGGCCCCCGGGCGGTGGGGGGAGGTCGTGGCGGGGGGACTTACAAAGTAAATATCGGTGGCCGGCGCGTCCTCCTCGTCCGAGGCCTGGCTGGCAGGCTCCGAGGCCTGGCTGGTGGTTTCCGCTTCTACCGCTGCGGTGGCGGTGGCTGCTGCGGTGCAGGCCGGGGACGCCGTCCCCCTGGGGACACGGGACACGCGTGTCCTGGGGTCTGCCCTGCAGTGCACCCCCGGAGGCACCCTCCCTGCTGCTCCTTGGGGCCCAGAACATTCAGTACCCTGTCACCACACCAAATGGTTCTGGAGCCCAAAGAGGGTCACTGTGTCCCCTCAGCCAGACCCAGGGCCTTGGCCCCACCACTGCCCGTGATCCCCAGCCGCTGCGACTCCAGCAGCAGTGGGGACGGCTCTGGCAGGGCCTCAGCACCTCTTGACCGGCACAGCCACGTCACCAGAGTCTGGCCAGCAGCACCAGCAGTGGCCACCTGGGTCCCCTGAGCGCCACTGGGTGGCACCTCCTCAATGAGGGGCAGGGCATACTCTGGGAAGTGTGTCTCTGGACGACGTCCGTGTGTGAATGTCAGTGGGAGGGAGGCACACCGGAAGTTATGCCCCCCCCATGAGGTCATGGTCCTCTCAGTGGCCGGGTTACCGGGCATTTGATGAGCTGGGAGCAGGCTGTCACCGTCTCCCCCTTGCAGAGTTGGGGACGCGCCCTGGCAAGGTCAGAAGGTGCCTGCTGTGCGGGCAATGTGGCAGAACCTCCAAGAATGCGCCCCCCTGACTTGTGGGACCAGTAGGGACTCAAACTTGGCAGAAGGCTGCTCCCCCCCCCGCCAGCACTGGGGGCACATTTGCTGTTCCAGCAGGGCAGACGTGGAGGTGTGTGACAGGCAAGAGAAGGGATGGTGGACATGCCCAGCTGGATAGGCTGTGTGGCCACCCAAGCCCTGGCAGCAACAGGTAGGGAGGCCCAGGGCCCGAGTGACAGACAGCACAGCGGGGTTGGCACTGACCTTGCAGGCGGCCAACCCAGGTTCCATCCCAAGCGCCCCAGAGGGACCCCCGAGCCCCACCAGGAGTGGTTCCTGAGCATACAGCCAGGAGAAAGCCCTGAGCACTGCTGGGTGTGACCCCAAAGTCAAAATAAAACACAATTCGATGCAAAACAAACAAAAAAAGTAAAGACAGGAGCCACAGTACAGCGGGGAAGGCGCTTGCATGTGGCCGACACAAATCTGATCCCTGACAGCCCCTTCCTCGAGCTCCCTCGGGAGTCAACCCTGAGCATAGCGAGGTGTACTATCATCGCCCACCTCCCTCCGCCCCCAAAAGACTCTGAGAAGCCCGATGGGAAAGAGTGGAGAGAGACAGGGAGAATGGACGGGAGTGCCACAGAGTATGGGACTGACCTCGTCAGCAGCTGGGGGAACCAGGACAAGGCCACGTGGGTCCTGCCCAGCACATGGTGTGGTGCTACTGCTGGGTGCCCTGGGACACAGTGTTTTTTACTTTATTTTGCGGGGTGGGGGCACATCCGGTGATGCTCAAACGTTTACTCCTGGTTCTGTACTGAGGGATCACCCTTGGCAGGGTCGGGGTACCATACGAGATGCCGAGGATGGAACCCAAGTTGGCCGCGTGCATGGCAAGTGACTGATCTGCTGTACTATGCTCTGGTCCCTTTTATTTTATTTTTTAAATTTGTTTTTGTTTCTATTCTTTGGGCCACACCCAGTGGAGCTCAGGGCTCACTCCTGGCAGTGCTGGGGAACCATATGAAGTGCCCAGGATCAAACCTGGGCCGGCCGCGTGCAAGGTCAGCACATTAACTCCTGCCCACCTGGATATTTATTTATTCATGTATTGGGGGTCTGAGGGGGCCACAACCTGGCAGTGCTCAGGACTTGCTCATGGCTCTGTTCTGAGCTGAGGTCACTCCTGGCAGACTTGAGGGACCACATGTGGTGCCAGGAATCACACCCAGCAAACACCTTATCCACTGTACTATCACTCCGGTCCCAACTGTATTTTCGGTGTATATATATATATATATAGTGTGTGTGTGGGGGGGGGTATCACACTCCATGGTGAGGGCCTTACTCTCTGCTCAGTGTTTTAGGGTTGCCAGGGATCAAACTTCGGGTTCCCATGTGCAATGGTTGTGCCCAGCCTTTAGAACTTTCTCAGATCCTGGAGACTTTGGGCGACTATGTTTTATTTTAGGCGACTTCCTCCAATTCAAAAATCGAATAAAGGGGCTGGAGCAGGGGCTGGGTCTGAGGGCCCCCTCAGACCACCTTGCACACTACCGACCCAGGTTCCATCCCTGGCACGCTCATAGGGTCCCCCATGTCCCACCAGGAATAATCCTTGAGCGTAGAGCCAGGAGTAAGCCGTGAGCATCGCCGGGGGTGGTCCCCAAACCCAAAATCAAATAAATCTGCACCCTGGAGATGGTGAGAGGGCAAGGGGGTGTGGTCCGGGGGCACAGAGATCAGGACGGAGAAGTGAGCAGGAACAGCAGCCGGGTGAAACAGGCAGCTCTAGGTTCAAAAAACAGGGCTGGGGCGGGAAACCCCTCTGGGTCTCCCCCGTGGGAACCTTCTCCAGCAAGGACCAAGGCACTTCCGCCCGGGGAGCCCTGGATGGGACTACATTTCCCAGCATGCCGTGCCATTCTGGCACCAGCATTCTGGTGGTCATGTGACCAGACTTGACCGCTGAGCTTACAACAGAAATCTGGGGCACCTATCAGTGCTCGATGTCCAACAGGAGGGGCCCAGGGCCCAGGGCTTACCCGGCATCATCCTCCTTGGGGACCACTATCTCCACGCTGCACGTGGGCTCCACCTGCACCGTGATCTGCTGCAAGTCCTCATCCACGTGCACTTCCTCCTGGGGCCTGGCAGCAACGGGAGCCATGCCTCAGTTTCCCTCCTCACCCACTTCCACCCCACAGAAACACAGGGCCGACTTTTCATGCTGGACTGTGGGGCTGGGGGCCTCCCAGAGGTGCCATCTCTGGGCACCACCACCACTACCCAGCATCCTGAGCTGGACCTTGGGCTTTCCTGCCCACCAAGGGGAGGGCGGAGAGGGCACCGCGGCTATGCCAGAAGGAAAGGAGGACACCGGCCATAAGTGTACAGGCTTGGACACTCACAGCTATCTTTGAAAAGAGACAAAAGTCGGTGCTGGGGACTGTCCCGGGGGAGAACGGGCTGGGCACAGGAGGTATTTCCTTTTTCTCTTAGTATAAAATGATGTTTGTGGGCCAAACTCTGCACCGTGGGGACCGTGGAGTCCTGGGGATGGAACTTGAGTCTCCTGCATGCAAAGGATACACTCGGGCCCTCGGTGACATTTCCTGGGCCCTCACTACTTCCCCTTTTGTGCCTCTCAGGACAGAGAGGGAGTGAGGGAGGAGGGAGGTAAACAAGAGAGGAAAGAAAGGAGGGAAGGAAGGAAAGAGAAAGGGAGGGAAGGAAGGAGGAAGGAAGGGAGGAGAGGAAGAAAAGGAAGGGAGGGAAGGAAGAAGAGAGGGAGTAAGGAAGAAAGGGAGGAGTGAAGGAGGCAAGCAAGCAGGCAGGCACACAGAGGCACTGGTGCGGGAGAGCAACTCAGAGTGACAGATTCTGTGTGGCTCTCAAGTTAGCTCTGCACCTTCAGCTGGGGAATCTGAATCTGGGCCCCGGGAAAGCGGGTAGAGGCTCTGGGCGGGGACAGGCACGGGGAGGGCTGTGCAGTGAGGTACCAGAGTCTCATCTCACCGGCCATCCTGTCCTGAGGACTGTGTGCGGCGCCTGCAGAGACCACAGATGGGACAGGTGGGACCAGTGAGGATGCCTTCCTGGATTTTCCCCAGCGGCTGCCCCGCTAACACACTCCTGCCATCCTGATTGGTCCCCCTTCCAACACCCCCAACTCCGATTGGTCGCCAAATGCTCCGCTCATCCTGATTGGTCCCCTTCCAACATCCTCCCACCCTGATTGTGCCACACCTCCAATATTCTACTGGCCCTGATTGGTTCCCCTTCAACGCCCCACCCACACAACAGGCCCCGCCTCCCACAAGCCACGCCCCTCCCAGAGCAGGTCCAGAAGAGTCTAGGCTTACCGGTACCGTGGCTGCTCTGACGTCTCGGAGGGCGAGCGCTCAGGGATGGAGAGGGACGTGGAGGACAGGGTGGTGGCGATGGAGGCAGTGGTGGCCTCCTCGAAGGAGGGCGGGGTGCAGGGCAAGAGGTCAGGCCGGCCTGTGGAAGGGGGAGGTAGACTCTGGAGGGAGCCTGGCCCCAAGCAGCCCCAAGAGCCTCTGGGCCACCCTCACCCCCATTTTCCCCCGGCAGCTTTCAGGGGCAGAACGACATCAGCAGCTTGGCAGCCCTGAACCCAACACACACCTGCACCTGGCAACCCATGTTCCATCCCCTAGAGCACCCCGTCCTCTGAGCGCCACAGGGTGTGGGCATCACCCAAAGAATTAGGATCAGAACCAACCACATTCCCTGGCCCACGGGAACCCTCCCTTCTGTCTGCTCCCCGCTTCCCTCCTCCCCCCTCTCCCTCTGCCCCAGGTCCTTTGCACAACCTTCACTCGTGCTAATACCCCAACCTTTCTCTATCTGGAACTTGGATGTTTGTTTGGGTTTGTGGATCATGCCTGCGGTGCTCAGGGCTTATTCCTGACTCTGAGCTCAGGGACCACTCCTGGCGGGACGAAGGGGATCTTATGCCATCCTGGGGATGGAACCCGGGTTGGCTGTGTGCCGGGCAAGCCCCTTACCAGCTATACTGTCTCTCTGGTCCCTGGATCTTGAGGGGCCACATCCCATAGTGGAGAGCTATGTAGATAGAACCTTTTCCCTCCCATGTCTCCCTGCTTCCCTGCCTGCAACATTGGAGCCGGACGTTTCCTTCCAGTGGATTCCTCTCCCCCCAGTGCCTTATCCTCAAGATCACCTCTCCGGTCAGGGGAGTGACTGTGACCTGGGTCCCTCCAGATGGATTGCTGCTGTTTCTCAATGCCCTCCTATCCTGGCGGCCCCTCCCCGCCTCCCTGCCCTCCCATCCCTCACCTTCATCCTCCAGCGTGGGGTAGCTGCGAGCTCCCCGCAGGTCATAGGGGGCTTCCTCACGCTCGCTGGGGATCTGGCTGGCTGAGAAGGCAGCTGTGGGCCCCAGGGGCTTCACGGCTAGCAGGGCGGCCCGCCCTTTCTTGGAGGGGGAGGACTTGAGAGCTGTGGAGGGAGAGGGGGCGCTGAGGTCGGGGTCCTGCCCGCTGCCCACTCCCTGCTGCCCGCCTCCAGCCTGGGTGAGGAGGGGTGCTGTGAGGATCCCCACCCTCTCAGGGGTCCCCCAGAGATGGGCCAATTCCTGGGGGAGCAGCGGAAGTTGCATTTGTTTTGTTTGGGGGCCACACCCGGCGTTGCTCAGGGTCTGTCTCAGTGCTCAGGGATCACTCCAGGCGGTGCTCGGGGGTCCGTACAGGATGCCGGGAGTTGAACCTGGGTCTGCCTTGTGCAACAAGGCAAGTACCTCTCCGCTGGGCTATGGCTCCTGCCCCTTGAAGTAGCATTTGCTAGTCTCGCGGGGCTAGCGGGCAGCGGCTTTCAGACAAGGGGACAGGCATGGGGTGCACATGGCCCAGAGTAAGATTCTTTTCTGCCCCCGGGGTCAGGAGGCCTGAGAACCCCAGCTCTCCCCACTCCTCTTGTGACCCTCTAGGGTGCCTGGAAGATTCCAGAACAGGTCGAGCAGAGATGAGCCTGGACACTGGGATTCCTGGTGATTAAACCCTGGACCAGTAACTGGGCGTGGGTACAGGCCGGATCCCTGGCTGCCTGCTGGAAACCTGAAAACGGACAGCAGGAAGCGCCCTGCCTTATTTTATTTTGGGGGGTGTGGGGGAGAGGGACTGGCCACCCGAAGCTGCCTTCCTGGGGCCCCGCACTAACAGGAGTTCTTCCGGAACACGGTGTTGCTCATGAACTTGAAGAAGCGCTCGGCGTAGAAGCTGGGTCGGTGTACGGAGACCGTGTCCTGGGGAGGGAAGGGGATGTGAGTGCCAGGGCCCTGCAGGACACCCCCGACCTCAGGCAAGCCAAGTCCAAACATGGTCCAAGGTCCTGGGAGTGGGTAGGCACAGAGGGCTAAGAGAGCCTGAGGTGTTTCACTTGTTTTCCGTACCTAGTACCCAAGCACCCAGCAGTGCTCGGGGTGGCTCCCAGCTCTGTTGCAGGACATGTGGGCCAGGGTCCCCCACAGAGGTGCTCAGGGGACCACATGGTGCCGGGGATGGTACCTGGGCCTCAAGCATGCCCAGACCTCAGGCCCACCTGACCCCGAAAATTTTTGTTTTTATGACCATACTCGGTGATGCTCAGGGTTGCTGACTCCTGGCTCTACACTCAGGAATCACTCCTGGCGGTGCTTAGGGAACCCTACAGGGTACCGGGGATTGAACCCAGGTCAGCTGTGTGCAAGGTTAAGCATCCTCCCCACTGTCCTACTACCCTGAGCCCAGACCCCTAAACTTTTTCCAATCTGAGAAGTTCCAGGACTGTATCCAACGAGCCAGTGCCCGAGACCCCTTCTACTGACACGTTTCCTGAATGTTCTTTGCTGCACTGGTCCCTGACTTTCCCAGTCACACTGTTTTTGGGAATCCTTCCAGGTCTGCTTAAGGGGAGGAGGGAGCCCCTGATTCCAGGAAGTCTTCCGGTACCCCCTATTCCTAGGTGGGCTCCCTGGATAGGTGTGTGTCCTGTGGAGTCCCAGCTTCCCCTCTCCTGCCCTCCAGACTGGCGGCACTGTTAGTCCCGACCATGGGAGGTGGTCATATGGGGGCTCAAGAAAGTGGTCAAGCCAGCGAGTGAATAAGCGAATGAACAAATGCACCAATGAACAAGCAGCAAGTGAATAAATGAGTGAGCTGACAAGTGAAGGAATGAACAAGTGAGTGAATGGGCAAATGAACAAAGGAACCCACGGCACAATAAAAAAGTAAATCAACCAAGGAGTGAACAAATGAATGGACGAGTGAATAAGCAAATAAGCAATGAACTACTGAATGAGTGCCCAAACGAGTGAAGGAACGGGCAAAGGAACAAATGAACAGGCAGCAAATGAGCAAAGGAACAAATGAACACATGAAGCAATGACTAGGTGAATGCGCTAATGAGTGAATGAATGAATGAAGGGAGGAAGGAAGAAATGAGCGGCCTCACCCCATCGTGGACAAGAGCCTTCCAGGTATGCTCCAGTTTCTTGATGAACCTGTGGGAGAGGGACGCCCCACCATCAGCCACGCCCTCGGGCCTCGCCCGGGGTGCACACGGCAGGGAGCCCTGGCCTGGAGGGACAACTCAGATTTGGCTGTGTCCAGGGGTCACTCCTAGCAGTCTTTGGGGGGCCCCTATGGGGCACCAGGAGCCAAACTGGGCCCAGCTGTGTGCAAGGTAAGTGCCCTCCCCACTGTACTATCACTCCATTCCCTCTGAGTCTTTGCTTTGTTTTTGGGGGGGCTGTTCCCAGCAGATGCTCAGCCTTCCTCCCGCAGTTGCCTGGGGGGAACCATGCGGTACCAAAGTTCAAAACTGGGGCTCCCACACGTGAAGTATGGGCTTACTCCCCTGAGCCATTTCCCTTCTTCCTGTCCCCCCCGGTCCCCCCCACATATGCATCAGCTATTGCTCCCCTCCCCTCACTGTGGTTCTGGGGGATGTAGTGGAGTTTGGGCATCTTCCCCTGGAAGACAGAGAAGCTGGCCCCTCCCAGAGCCCCCTTCCTCTCTGCAGGAGTGTCCAGCACCACAGCCACCTCCTCCAGGCAGCCTTCCATATGGCCCATCTGCAAGAAGAAAGGCACTGGGCCCTTGGGATACCCCCACCCTGGGATGAGCGTGTGGCTGTCAGCCTAGCTCTTGGACCCCACTCCAACCCGGGTGTATGTGTGGAGGCGGGGGGGGTCTTTTTAGAAAGCATTGCTTGCTACCCCCAAACCACCACATTTGCTCTGAACAGAGATGGCAGGTGTTGGTGTTGAAAAACAGCACATGGGGGCCACCTGACAGAGAAGTTTGGGTACACAAGAACCCCCCACCCAGAAAGCCCAAGGTCAGGCAGTTTTCTGGAAACGTGGGCCCCTGTTCCCAAGCTCCCAATCTGACTGGACATTTGGGGGAGGTGGGGGGGTTTGGAGGGGGCTGGGTGCCCCCTGGTGGTGCTCCGGAGCATGGGCCCATGCAGGGCAGGCCTGGATGGGGCTCTCTGAGCTCCCTGTTCTAGACTAGGGCTATGCCTGGTGGTATGTGGGACTGAACTGCTGAGACAGTGATGGGGAAGCTCCATGCCGGGGCCTTCCCGCTTGGGTCTGGCCTGCAGGGTCACTGGAGTGACCCCGGTGACCAGAGCCCGCAAGGACTCTAAAATGAGCACTAGGTGTGGACTCCTGAGGTTCCAGGTCTAACACCCGTGCTGGTCACGAGAGCAGCACACCGGAGCCTCTGGGTAAGATAGAAGCTGGGCTAGCTGGTGAGCAGAGCAGGCGTTCACCTGCCTGGGCGGGCCAGGGGGCAGGGCAAGGGCGAGACAGACCTATAGGATTGCATGATGTCTGTGGGGGCGGGGCATGGGCAGGACACGCCTATAGGGATTGCAGGATGTTTGGGGGGGGCTGGGCATGGGTGGGGGTGGGGGTGGAGATGTACCTGTAGGACTGCAGGATGTCGATGATGCCGATGTGCAACAGCAGGCGCTCCCCACGGCCATTCACAGCAGGAATCCCACCCATCCTGCAGAAAGTCAGAAGTCAGGACCCAGCCTCTGGGTCATGACATGTGGGGGGCGCGCGCGCGCGTGTGTGTATGTGTGGCGCACACACGGCAGGAGCCTGAGCCTCCAGTTCACCCTGGGACACGGGAGGGGGTGAAGAGCAGGGTTCTGAAGGAGCCGGAATTTCCTGAAGGCAGGGTGTTCAAACTGGTGGGGGAGAGGGGGCCAGCAGCTTTCTCACCTCTGATCACATGGAAGTACCCAAGGGTCCCCGCTATGCGGGGAGAAACACGTAGGCAAGTGCACACACAGGCACACACACACTCCAGCACATACAGGCCTGCACACATGTACACACACGTGCCCATGCTCACAGGCTGACACACACATGTACGGGGCTCACAACACACACGAACTCACAAGCCCACACACAGCACATGCACATACCCATCTACCTACACATATGCATTCACAAGTCATACACAGGTACATGCAGAAAGATCTACACACATATACACAGCCCACATGTGAGCACACATGGGTCAACATGTGCATGCATATCCGCACATGCACATGTAAACCCACACACACATACAGGCCCACATGCTTAAAGTCTGCCTACATGCATGTAGAGGCCCTCACAAAGCCCACACAGGTCCACACACATGCACACAGATCAGGCCACATGTACACACACACCCACTTTTACACATGTACACAGGCACGTGTGGGTTCACACACAAGCACACATAGGTCCAAACACATGCAGATACCTGGAGCATGCGCAGAAGCTCACTGACATGCGTCTGCACGTGCATGTTTGCACAAACATGGTTATGTACATGGAGAACATGTACGCACACACTTGTACACGCAACAAACCAGCACAGGACTCACATGCACACGGGGCACACACACACACTCCACGCAAGCTCCCTGGGTCTGGGGAGTTAGTGAGCTCACAGGTGCGGGGAGGGTGGGAAGCAGCCCCAGCAGAGACCCCCACGCCCCACCCCAGCATGGTTGGCCCTGGTCACTGCACACCTGCCCACTGAGCTTACCTGTCACACCCCACAGGGGCCCCGTGCGGACCCTACAAACACCAAGATACTCTGAGGATGGGGGTCTGCCTGGGGCCTCAGCATGGGCTGCGCTTCCACCTCATCCCCACCCCAGTGGCCCCCCATCCTCCCATGCACACATGGGACATCCTCCCATGTCCTAGTGCCCGGGCTCCAGCACTGCCCACTTGTGCCCTTGGGATGGCTGCCCTGTCCCGCCTGACCCCCCAGTCTCCAGCTGGAGCTGAGGGGGGAATGCCCCATGCCTGTTGCCCATGTCTGGGGTCACCCGTGATCCTGAGGGAACTCCAGGAACTCCTAGCTCCACGGGGAGGGGGGGGGAGGGGGGAAGGGTGGTGTCAGGATGCAGCTCGGCCCTCAGTGTCCAGCATGATGCTCAGTGTGAACTGCGGTCTGATGGCCACAGGGAGAGGGGGACCCCCGGGGAAGGAAAGCACACGGGCTGCCCCTGGGTGCCCCCTGAACAGTAACACCTGCCCTTCTGCTCCGGGAAGCTGACCTGTGTGGCGTCTGGCTACTTTCCTTGGCGAGGGAGGTCACCCAGCCGTTCCTCCCATCGTCCACCCTGCCCCCACCCGGGGGCCCAGGGGCGAGGCCTGGGGACGGGATGGGAATCGCAAGCCTGATCTGGACACTGCAGAGCTGCGCGCGCCCAGAGGAGCACCCGGTGCAGCGGGGGGCGGGGACACACGACACGGGGAAGGGCCGCCACCTACGTGTCGTCCGTCTCGATGGCCTCACCACGCGCCGCGCCGCCCTGGATGGACTCCATGGCCGTGGAATAAAGCGCCTTCTGGCCCAGCGGCCGCTTCTCGTCGGCCGCGCTGTGCGCGCCCTCGGCCTGCCGCTCCCGCTCCTGCTGGTCCATGTTGTGCACGCCCAGCAGGAGGCTGTAGTCCATGATCTTGAAGCTCTCCAGCACCTGCGGGCAGGCGGGCAGGGGCTGGCGGGTCACGCTAGGGGCCATGGCCACGGCCACCCACCAGGCCCCGCCCCTCCGGACACGCCCACCACGATGCCCCGCCCCCACCCAGGGCCCTGAGGGGCGTTGTTGGTCCTTTCAGAAGTCTCCTTGGGCCCCATCACGGATTCTAAAGGGGCAGCCAGCTGGCCAGGGAGCTTAGGGCGCAGGCAATGCATGGTCCCGCCCTGGAGGTGGAGTCAGGCACTTGAAACCCACTTCCAAGCCTCTAGGACCTTAGGGTGTCTGGGAGGATGTGGGGGCTTTGGAGAAACTTTGCAAAGGGGGTCTGCAGCCCGGGATGATGAGGAAAGCGGGGGACGTCAGGAGGTAAAAAGGACCCTAGCAGGCAGGCACCCCTGACCAGTACTAGTGGGGAAGCTACACACCAGGCTGTGTTCAGAGCTTACTCCAGGGACTGTACGGATCTCCAGGGATCAAACCAGGTCTGCCGCGTGGAAGGCAAGCGCTCTACCCAATGTACTAGCTCACCTGCCCTGGTTGTCATTTCTGTTTTCTTTTTTTCTAAGTTTTTGGGCAACACCTGGAGATGCAACACCTGGAGATGCTCAGGGGTTACTCCTGGCTCTGCACTCCAAGAATCACTCCTGGAGGTGTTCAGGGGACCATGCAGGACGCCGTGGACTGAAGCTGGGTTGGCTTCGTGCCAGGCAACTGCCTTACCCACTGTGCTATCGCTCCAGCCCCCCCATACTTTCTTCCTTTTGTTCTGGGGCCACATCCCATGGTGCTCAAGGCTTACATCTGGCACTGCACTCAGGGATCGCTCCTGGCAGGGCAAGGCGACCAGTATGTGGTGCCAGGAATCAAACCTGGCTCGACCCCGTGCAAGGCAAGCGTCCTACCCACTGAACCCTCTTCGGCCCTCTCTTGCCATTTCTATGGGATTTTTTTTGGGGGGATGGAGGGGGCAGAATGGAGGGGCTCACACCCTGCAATACTAAGGAGTCACTCTGGACCGGGCTCGGGGGACCTGATGGGGAGCTGAGCACGGAACTCGGGTCAGCTGCGTGCAACACCTGTGCCCTCCCCACTGTCCCATCTCCCCGGAGCCCTCCTGTCATTTTTAGAGTGTGAGGGGGTGGGGTGTCCCGGGGATGGCCTCGCCCATGGATGCGGGTAGGGCAGAGGGTCCCTGCAGGGTCCCCAGAGGGCTGCGCCCAGCCTCGGGGGGCCTTCCCCACCCCCCCTCACCAGGCAGTCCCTCTGCAGCGTCTTGACGAGCGCCGAGAAGGTGTCGGCGTCCAGCAGCAGCCCCTCGGGCATGTCCTGCATGAAGTCCAGGTCCTTGTAGGTGGGGATGCTCTTCTCCTTCTCCTTCTTGCTGGCCCGCCGCTTGTACGTGGAGCCCTTGAGGTCGAACTTGAGGTGCATCTTGACCACGCGGGGCAGGATGTTGTTCATCACCACCACGCGGATGTTCTTGCCCCCTGACTGCACGCAGTAGAGCCCGTAGAACTTGGGGAGCAGCGTCCGCGGGTTCTGGTTGAGGTTCTGGGGAGGGTGGCAGGGGGGCGTGTGAGTGGGGAGCAACACCTGTGTGGTTCTGGGCACAGTCCCTCCTGTCCAGGTGCTCTGGCCCTCAGGTCTCAGGAACACGCTTCCCCCACACACACACCCCTGCGGCATGTGGGGGACTCAGCCCAGCGCAAAGGCTGTCTTCCCACGGACAACAACACGGGGTGGGTGAGCCCACAGGGTCAGGGCCTGGGATCCTGTCGGTCCTACTCAGCCCATCTGGGGACAGGGAGCAGGGGGCAGGGGCTCAATTCCAGGGACCCGAGGGACATGAGGGGAGCTCTGGCCAGTTTACAGCCAGGATGAAAATGGTTTGCACTCCACAGCACCCAAAAGGAGAGAGAGAACAAAAGGGAATGCCCTACCACAGAGGCAGGGTGGGATGGGGGGGATGGGGGTGGGAGGGATACTGGGATCCGTGGTGGTGGGGAATGGGCACTGGTGGAGGGATGGGTACTCGATCATTGTATAACTGAAACCCAAGCACAAAAACTTGTAAGTCCACAACTTAGTCACTATATAATTGAAACCCAAGCACAAAAATCTGTAAGTCTACAACTGCACCTCTTGGTTTGTCACTAATAAAAAAGAAATAAAAAGAAAATGGTTTGCACTGTTAAAGGGCTGAGATGAAAGAGAGAGGGGGCTGGAGAGAAGGATCCACTAATGGGGCAAGGACAAGAGAACCCCCCCCCAGGGTAGGACCCCGGCACCACCCAGCCCCTCTAAGCAGTCTGCAGCAACCTCCGAGCACAGAGCGAAGTAGCAGATGGGATATAGTGAAAGGCCGCGAAATTGGCATCTCAGAACGGAGTTTCCGGTGGCCTACCCCATGCCTCACGCGCTTTCCTGAGCGGGGTGGGGGGAGACAGATGGGGGCTCCCAGAGCTCAAAGTATACCCTGCCTGGATCCTCACGATCTCGGGGCACAACGTTTCATCTGGGCAGACAAGCACAAGGCTGATACCAGTCCCCCGTCCCGAGCGCTAAAGTGATGGGCCCACCTCATCTGGGCACATCTGGGGGAGGCGGTGGGGGAGGGCACAGTCTGAGGCTCCCCTCCCAGCTCTGCTCGGGGGGCTGACCTGGGGGCTGTAGGTCACTGCTCAGTGGAAAGTTTCCGCAGCAGCCAGGCTCCTGCGAGGCGCCAGCTGGCACCCGGCCCCTCCTCCCCCTCGTACTGAGTCACGCACGATTTCGGGAACTCACGACTCCAACTCTGAGGTGTTAGGGGGGTGGGGGATAAGAGCAGGCAGGCAGGGCTGGTGATGCGCCACCCCCACGTTCTGGGCCGATGCTGCCCCACCCCCACCTCCCCTGGGACGGCCTCCAGGGATGCGGCCCGCAGGTGCAGGGCACTAAGTGCATGGGGACGGCTACCCCTCCCTCGCCCCCTTCCAGGGGCAAACAGTCCAGGCCTGGGATGTACATGAACCCAGAACCCAGGGAGTTTGCCCATGGAAGAAACAGCGGCTGAGCTGGAAGGCGGCTGCCCGGGAAGGAAAATCCCGGCCTATGTGTACTCCCGTACCTAGTGAAAAAGGTGGGGAGAAGGAAGACCCCGGGCCCGTAGTTAGTGGCTGGTGACCAGGACTCTGCACAGAAGCCCCGCCTACCACCAAGAAGCTGGAGGGGTGGGGCCAGGAATAAGCCACACTCCTTTGTGGACATTGGGTAGTTGGAGGGGGCAACTACCCAAAATCTCACTGGGTAGCTGGAGGGGTTGGAGAGAAGCCCTGCCCACCACCTAGTAGCTGGAGGGGTGGGGCCAGAAGGAAGCCACACCCCCTAGGAGCTATTGGGTGACTGGAGGGGCGGGGCAAGAAGGAAGCCACGCCTTCTCATGAGGTAGCAGGAAAAGCCCCGCCCAGCAGCTAGTAGCTGGAGAGGATGGTGGTCAGGAAGCCACACCCCTTCGTCAATGTTGGGTTGTTGGAGGGGGGCGGAGCAAGAAGGAAGCCACACCTCCTCACTGGGTAGCTGGGAAGGGCAGGAGAGAAGCCACGCCCACCAGCTAGTAGCTGGAGAGGGTGGTCATGAGGCCACACCCCTTCGCCAATGTTGAGAAGTTGGAGGGGGCGGAGCAAGGAAGGCACACCTCCCCATTGGTAGCTGGAGAGGCAGGAGAGAAGCCACGCCCACCACCTACTAGCTGGAGGGGTGGGGCCAGAAGGAAGCGACACCCCTTGGGAGCGAGGGGGCGGGGCAAGGGGAAGGAAGCCACACCCTTATTGGGGTAGCTGGAGGGGCGGGGTTGGAAAGGAAGCCCCGCCCCCTACCATGTAGTATCCGGGTAGCAGCTTCTGCAGGAACTCCGCCTCCTTGTGCATCACGGTCTTGATGATGAACTCATCGTCGCTCGTGACATAGAAGAGGGAGCCACTGGCGCCCGGGTTGGACAGCTCAATCAGGGGCTCGTTGCACAGCGAGTACTAAAAGAAGCAGGGCTGGAAGGTGAGCAGGCCGACAGGGTGCTAACAGCCCCAGCCCCGGGACGGTGGAGAACGCTGGAGGTCACTGGTTCCCCACGGTGTCCAGTCAGCAGTGGATTCATGCCCCTGGGCAGGGTGCAGAGGCCGGCCCAAGGAAGAGGATCTTTCCAGTGCCCCGGACCCTGCTCCTAAATCAGCCTGAAGCCACCCATGTCCTGGGGGCCCCGGCCCCTGGGTCAGCTCCCTTCCAGGGCTCCAGGTCCTGTCCAACACCAGCCCCTACTCCCGGCCAGTGGCTTTCTCTGCTAGGATGGGTGAGGAGCACTGGACAGTGACTTGTGGGCAGAAGTGGCTGGTTATGTCCAGGGGGGTGGGAACTAGAATTCTCCTATGGCTGGAGCCACAGGACAGCAGGGAGGCTATTTGCCTTGCATGCAGCTAATACGTGTTTGATTCCCGGCAACCCTTAGGGTCTCCCACCATTGCTAGGAGTGATCCCCGAGCACAGAGCCAGGAGTGAGCCCTGAGCATCTCTGGGTGTGGCCTCAATATAGAACAACAGAAAAATGGCACCTGGAGCTTTGGGGCTGGGGGGCTGGACCCTGGGTGACATTGGGGTACCCCCCACCACTTACAGCTTAATGCAGGCAGGATCTGACTGGTGGCCAAAAGCCCCTCCTGGACCCCCCTGGAGTCACAGGGTGAGGGAAGGGAACCCCGGGGGCTGGGTTCCCCACCCAGTGGGGTCGGCGAGACTGGAGGACAGTGGCAGATGGGCAGGGTCACAGGGCACCCACAGTGGACAAGGCTGCCCGGGCACAGGAGCAGAGGCAGGAAGGGGGGGGGCTGTGCGGTTACGGGGGGCCCAGGAAGGCAGAGGGGCTCCTGGGGAGACTCTGGGAGCATTGCAGGGGCCTGGGGTGCTGGCTGAGGACACACCCTGGGGGGGAGGGGGGAGATCAGGAGCATGAGTGCTGTGAGCCCAGCAGGCCCCCTGTAGACGTGGGGGGTGCGGGGGAGGCTGTGGGGTGGGACCTGGGCCCCAGCTGGCAGAGGCCCGGCTCAGGTGGCAGCGGTCCAGCAAGGCCATCTGTCCCTGCTTTACCCACAGCCGACACAGGTGCTTGGCAGCCACCAAGTGGGGGTGGGGGAGGGCATGTCCCGGGGGCCAGGGCCTGCAGCATCCGCCCCTGAGCCCCCAACAGCCGGCAGGTGTGGCTGGGAGCAAGCACAAGCCTCTGGGGGCTGGAGCAATAGCACAGTGGGGAGGGGAGGGCGTTTGCCTTGCACGCAGCTGACCCGAGTTCGATTTCCAACATCCCATAGGGTCCCCTGAGCACTACCAGGAGTGATGCCTGAGAACAGAGCCAGGAGGAACCCCTGAGCATCGCTGGGTGTGACCCAAAAAGTAAAAAAAAAAAAAAAAACAGAACCAGCCTCTGGCAGGGGGTTTGGATCTGGTGGGGTTGTGTGGGAACGAACAGCAGACCACACAGATGTCGTTCTCTTGTTTCTTTTTGGTTTGGGGGCCACACCTGGCAGTCCCTGGGGCTGACTCCTGGCTCTGCACTTAGGGAGCGCTCCTAGCAGGGCTCAGGGGACCAACGGGGTGCTGGGGTCGGACCTGAGTCGGCCCGGGAGGCGCAAGGCCAACGCCCTCCCCACCGTCTCTCGCTCCAGCCCGGCACATGGGTTTCTGCGGCAGGTGATGCAGCCCTGGGACGGGGTGCCTCCAGCCCCCATCCCCGCCCCCCACCGCAGACTCTCGTTTGGGAAACAGCCTGAGCTCCCTCGGTCCTGCTGGGGGCTGCAGGTGTGTGAATGTGGGGGCGAGTCCACGCCAGTCCCTCGCTCCCAGATTTCAGAGGGCGGGAGTGCCAGCAGACTGGCAGGAAGGACAGAGACGTGCGCGGGGGTGGGACCGGGGCGGCGCCCACCAGGCTGCACTGCCGTGAGCGGGTGGGACGGGGCACGGCTGCCCGTCAGAGTCTCTGGAGATCGGGGCTGAGGGGCTCTGCTCATACCCCCCACGGCACACCCAGGATGCTGCAGGGGGTGCTCCCAGAGGGAGGGGGGACGCCATGTCCGGCCCTGTATGACGGGGTGCCCTGCTACATGCCCCATAGAAATGCTACGTGCTCCAGAGCCCACGACTCCAGAACCCTGCTTGGAGGCCAGGTGGGCATGAAAGAGTCCCGGGGGCGAGTGGTCCTGGGCCAGCGGGTGCTACCGTGTCCCTTGCCGGCCACACTCACCAGGTAATCGTCAGGCCTGATGCCAAAGAGTTCCCGGAAGTAGCGGAAGGCCACGGGCGCGTACGTCTTGAACCTGAAGTCCTGGAAGTGGTGGGCAGGGGTGAGGTTGCTGCCCTCACTGCGGAGGAAGGAGCAGAGGGGGATCTCTGGTGAAGGGCATGGCTCTGCGGGTCGCCAGGCGCCAACCCCGGCCCCAGCCCCCTGGAGGACCTGGATCCCAAAGTCTCTGAACCCCTGGTGGGGCCAGAGTGATGTCGGTGCGGTTGGGAGGGCACTGGCCTTGCACGCGGCTGACCTGGGGATCGATCCCGGCATCTCCGAGCCCCACCAGGAGTGACCCCTGAGCACAGCTGGGTGTGGACCCCTCCAAAAAAAAATAAAGTAAGGGGCTGGAGCGATAGCACAGTGGGTAGGGCGTTTGCCTTGCACGTGGCTGATCTGGGTTCGATTCCCAGCATCCCATATGGTCCCCTGAGCCCCGCCAGGAGAAACTCCTGAGTGCAGAGCCAGGAGTAACCCCTGAGCATCTCTGGGTGTGACCCAAAAAAGGAAAAAATTAATAAAAATAAAGTCAAACTCTAGAGCAAAACGGGACTCAGGACAACAGGGCCATGGGAATCTTGAACACTCCCAAGCAGGGCACTTCTGCCAGGGGCCGGTGGTCTCAGGCCGGGAGGTGGTCATGTGACTGTGCTCAGCCAATGGGAGGTGACCAGGGCCTGGCGCACATCAGCCCGGTGCAGGCAGGACTCGGAGGCTGCGTGCTGAGGACAGGGGTACCCCAACTCCACCCACAGGGCCACCTGCCCGGCCCTAGGCTCTTGCATGCCAAGCCCATGGCTGGCACACGACAGGGCAGCCTCCCGGGCCCCTGAAGCGCCCCACAATATGCCCTCCTCCCCGCTCAATGGCAGAGCCGGGGACGGGCAGGGGGTGGGGGGAGTGTGTCTGCGCCACGTGCTGCAAAGTGGGGGTTCGTGGCGGAGTGGGCCATGGTACCTGGGGAAGAAGATGCTCTCCACGACGTAGAAGTCCTGCATGAGCACGTCCCGCTCGGGCTTGGAGCTCAGGTTGCCCACCGTGTAGCCGATGCCCAGCTGGATGGCCCCCTTCAGTGTGGAGGAGGTGGTCTGCAGAGGGGTAGGGTGGGGGACCAATACATCAAGACCACGCCTCTATACCCGGAAACGGGGAGGTGCTGACCCCAGGCCGATGACCCTGTACCCTCAGGGAGAGAATCTGACCCCCAAGACCCTCTAAGGTGGGCATCCCGGGGCCGGAAACATCCAGAACATGCTCCTCCCTCCCTCCCTCTCTCTCCCTCTCCCTCCCCAGACAGGAATAGGAGAGGAGGCAGATGGTATGTTCTGGAATTGGCCGCCGGGATGACCACACACTTCCCATCTGGCCCTAGACACAAGGGTCACACATGTGCGGGTGCCCTGGTGGGCGCCGGAGGCGGTGCCAGCCCCCCGCTCGGCCCAGCTTCCAACCAAGAGAAGAGGGGTCTGCTGGGGTGGCGACTGACCAGCCTGCCCTCCCCCCAGCACAGGGGGCTCTGACCTCAGGGGACCCCCCATAAGGTAGCTTGGGGGCTACGAGGAACCTTTTTGTACGTGGTTTCCCCCGACGCGTCCACGCCCCGGTGACCCAGCTTCTTGCCGTGGCCAGGGCCCGGCTGGCCCGTCATTGGAGGGGTCTGCAGAGGAGGGAACAGGAGGCGGCAGGTGTCAGGGTGGGGGAGGGGCAGAATGTTCTGGAAACCCTGGGAGAAAGGGGCTTACACAGGCACGCCCTGCAGTGGCCTGCAGCTGCAGGGGCCAAGGAGGGTCAGCGCTGATTTGGGGGGGGGTTGTGGGGTCCCTCTTCAGCTCTGCTTACATCCCGGCCGGGGAGGGGTTGGGGGGAGGGGGCTTGAGCCCTACCCCTGGCCTCCAAGCATTTGATGCCAGGAGCCCCCCACTTCCTGCGACAGCCACAGAGGTCCCTGGTGCCTTCCGAGGGCCTTGGGGACCCCTGCCGGGCTGGGGTGCTCTCAGGGGTGCAGGCATGCCGGATGGGTGATGATGGAAGCCAGCTCAAGGCCCAGGCAGGCACCCCTCTCATCTGAGAGACCCCCGGGGGCTCCCACTGTGAGCATGCCACAGCCCCCTTTCAGGGAACGCCCCCAACACACGCCTGAAGACCCACTCACTGCCCAGCTCCCGGTGTTCTGCGCACTGGCCACCAGGGGGCGCGCTCACCCCAGGAACCGCCACCCCACCCCCTCTCCCTGCAGGGGCTCCCCTAACAGTCGCAGGACCCCTCCGCAGGGTCCCCCTTCCCCTCGTCCCCGCCCCAGACCCGAGTCTCCAGCAGCACGCCCTGCGCCCAGGGCGACCCCTCCGGGAAGACCCCAGTAGGAGCAAGAATCCTTCCTGGGCCTGACTGGGGAGCACTGCAGCTGTGGCTCAGAGACAGCGGGGCACCGCCCAAGGCCACACAGCAGAGCACAGAGGTGGGGGCGAGGGCACAATCCTGGTGCTTCCCAGGCCTCTGATTAAGAGGCAGCTGGTGGACGAGGTGCCCGGAAACACTCACCTCCATAGAGGCCGACTTCTTCTGAGACAGACCTGAGGGAGAAAAGAGCAAGGTTGAGGCTGGAGCGACAGCACAGCGCGGAGGGCATTTGTCGTGCATGCGGCCGACCCGGGTTCGATTCCCAGCATCCCATAGGGTCTCCCGGAGCACCACCAGGAGTAATTCCTGAGTGCATGAGCCAGGAGTAAACCCCTGTGCATCGCCGGGGGGTGACCCAAAAAGCAATAAAGAAAAGAGCCAGGTCAGGCGGAAGGGGAGGCTGGGCACTGGGTGCCCCCAGGTCACGTCTGCACTTGACCTCCCAGGAGATGCGTGGGGGCCCGGCATCTCCCCCAGATACACATGCTGGATGCCGGGGCCCTCGAGGCTCCCTCCATTCCCCCCTGCAGTCAGGGTTCAGCCAGGAGGGTCTGGAGGGGCAGACCCCAGGGGTTGCCGCTGCAAGGGATGCGAGGGAGGGTCGTGGATTTGCAGGCTGGACCCTGGGGGAGGCTCGAAGGAGCCCCAGCCCTGGCGCGCACGGGTGGCACCAGGAGGTTGCCTGGCCCAGGGCAGAGACCCAACGAATGCGGGAGGAGTTTTAATTGTGTTGATTCGGGGACCACACCCAGTGATGCTCGGCCGACTCCTGGCTCTGCACTCAGGAGGTCACTCCTGGCGGGGCTCAGGGGAGCCTACGGGATGCCGGGGCTCGAACCCCGGTCACAGCGTGCAAGGCACTATCTCTCCAGCCCCAGTGTGGGGCCGGTGTGCGACAGGAAACGGGGGGGCGCGCAGGAAGAGAGGAGGTGGAGGGGCCGAGAGAGGCCTGGAGCAGGGAGTGACGGCGGGCAGGACCGGGCCGGGCTGCCAGGTGCGCAGGGCCGCAGCGGAGGGGCTCGCGCGCCCTCTGCCGGCCGCCGCGGGGAAAGCACCGAGCGGCCCCCCCGCGCGGGGGTGCGGTGCGGCCGGCGGGCTCCCCGGGGGCGGAGTGAGGCCCAGCAAGGCGGGTGACTCAGGGTTTGACTCAGCAAGGACGGAACTGGCGCCGGCTGTGGGGAAGGGGGGCGAGGGTTGGGGTGGCCCGGGCCCTGCGGGGCGGGGAGGGGTGCACGTGCACCCCCAGAGGGAGGGCCGAGGCTGTGGGCGTCCCCCGGGGGTGCAGATGGGCGCCCCTGGGACGGGTGAGGCGAGGTGGGGGGGCACCTGCTGGAAGACCAGGGGAGAACCTTCTGGCACTTGCCAGACCCCCCTCCATGCACTCATCCGCACCCAGGCCGCAGGCGGGAAAACTGAGGCTGCTGCGGCCCGGGCGGCCCCTCCCGAGGCCAGGCGGCGGCTGCGGAAGGGGCCGGCGCTGACACCGACTTTCCCGGGCAGAACAATTCAGAGGCGCCGGGGGTGTGGGGAGGGGGGGAGGAAGAGGGCAGGAAGGGGCAGGGCGCGCGGAACCTTCTGGAAAGCCACCCCAGAGGCCCTGGCGCCGGACATTGGTGCTCGCACCCCTGTCGGCCCCTCTGCACCCCGCCAGCCCCGTTGTCCCCTCCTCGCGGCCCGTATCTGCTCCCTGGGGGCCTGGTTCTGCCCCGCATTCCCCTGGGCTCTGCTGCTGCACCCCTTATTACCACCAGGGACTCCTTCTAGAACCTTCTCCCGCAACCCCCGCACTGCCAGGAATTCCTTCTAGAAATAACCTGCTGCTGCACACACACACACACACACACACACACACACACACACACACACACCTCACACACCTCCCCCCACCAGGGATTCCTTCTAGAACCTTCTGCTGCACCCACCCTCACTGCCAGAGATTCCTTCTAGAACATTCTGGTGTTGCACACCCACCACCACATACCCACCACCAGGGATTCCTTCTAGAACCTTTTCCCCCTTCTAGAACCTTCTGGGTCACCTGGGGGAGATGGTGGAAGTAAGGACAGGACATCCTCTGGTGCCACCCTTCTCTCTCTGGATCTGTCCTTCGCCTGTTGGTCAGTGTTGGCTGGGGCCTGGCTGTGTGCGCGCGCGCGCGCGCGCACACACACACACACACACACCCTACCACCAGGAACTCCTTCTAGAATCTTCTCCTTCTGCCCCAGGATGCCTGCTGCTCTCTCGTCCCAAATGGGCGTCTGGGCTTGGTACTTTCAGCAGACCGGTTCAGAGGAGAGAGTGGCGGCTCAAGGTCGGGGTGCAGGGGGTGGCTGTGACAGAGCCCCCCCAAGCCAGGCTCTAGCCAATCAGCCCCACCTCCCAGGAAGCGCCTGGAGTGACCCCTCCCATGCCATCCAGGCCCCAGCCAACACTGACCGACAGGCGAAGGACAGACCCAGAGAGAGAAGGGCGCGTCCCAGCACCTGCACGTGCTCTGCCCAGCCCCCACCCCAGCCGAGGCCAGCCAACTGCCCTGTGCACCCCAGAGGACGCCCTGTCCTTACTTCCGCCACCTCCCCCAGGTGACCCAGTCTTCCTCCCTGCAGGATAGGAGGCCCTCACCAGTGCTCCCCCATTCACCCTGCTCCAGCCCCACAGGCCTCTTCCTGCTTCCTCCCAGCTGCCCCTGGGCCTTTGCACAAGCAGAAGCAGCTCCCAGCTGCCCTAGGGTCATTGCACTAGCAGGGGCTCCCAGCTGCCCCAGGGCCTTTGTAGCAGCAGTGGCTCCTGGATCTTCTCCCACAACAGTCGCTGCCTCTGAGCCGCTTCCACCTATATCAATCCGCCCCTCCACTTAGTGCTTCCGTGGGGGCCATGCCTCCCCAACCACCAGCACAGAGAGAGGGTCCCTGTCATCAGCCAGGGTAGCTGAGGCGCAGAGGTCCTGGGGCTCCAGCAATCACACCTCAAGTGCTCGTGGCTTGGAAGATCTGCGTCACAGCGCCCTGCCCAGCGGGCTGCTGACCGTGGGTGTTGCAGGGGGAGGGGGCGCCGGACACTCCAGGCTGTGCTCAGGACAGCCCTGGCCACTGGTTCCTGGGGGGTAGAGCTGGCGGTGGGGGGCAGGTGGCGGCTTCGGGTCCCCCTCCCGGGGCCTGTGGGTGCAGATGCCTCCCGGGTAACCTGCGAGCCGGGGGCCCCCTCACCCTCACTTCCCCACGGTGGACTGCCAGGGAGTGGGCGGGGCCGGACAAGTTCCGGATGTGCCCACGCCCGCCCAGGGGGGTCAGGGCAGGCGCCCCGACAGCTCAGCACCCGGGCAAGCGGAAAGGCTGTCAGCAGAGCTCAGCTCCCCGGGAGGCCCCGAGTGGGACCCGAAGCCCGGGAGGGAGCAGCCCGCACACACGCACCCCTGCAAGCACGTGACCCGCAGCGGCATGATTGCCACTGAAACCCGAGAGGGGAAGGGAAAGGGTCGGGGACCTGGGCGGCCACTGCAGGGCAGGGTGTGGCCTGGCGGGACACCAAGGCCCAGGGCAGGGCCTGCCAGAACCACAGGACAGGAGAAAAAGGAAGAGGGAAGACTGGCCGGGGAGGGGGAGGGGGGCAGGAGCGGTGGCTGGCAGGGACGGAGGGCACTCGCCTGGCACGCAGCCAGCCGGCCACCCCGGTTCCCATCGATCCCCGCATTCCCTGAGCCCCGCCAGGAGTGATTCCGGAGGGCAGAGCCAGGAGCCAGCCCGGGGCATCGCCTGGCGTGACCCAAACCAGAGAGAGAGGGGGGCCGGAGCAATAGCACAGTGGGCAGGGCGTTTGCCTTGCATGCGGGCCGACCCGGGTTCGATCCCTGGCATCCCATAGGGTCCCCCAAGCATCGCCAGGAGTAAGTCCTGAGTGCAGAGCCAGGAGGAACCCCTGCGCATCGCCGGGTGTGACCCAGAAAGCAAAAAAAAAAGAACAGAGAGAAAGGGAGAGAGAGGAAGGGAGGGAGAGAAAGAGAGGGAAGGAGGGAGAAATGGAGAGAGAAGAGAGAGGGAGGGAGAGGAGAGAGGGGAGAAGAGAGAGAGGGGAAGAGAGAAGGGGGGGAGGAGAGGGGCTGTTTATGAGCTGGGAGATGAGGCGGGGCGCCTGGGTCCCTCTCTGCGTCAGAGTTCCCGACGGTGCCCTCTGCACCCCACCCGCAGTCTGGCGGTGACCTCCAGGTGTGTGAGCCCATCTGGGATCCTGCCTGCGGGGCCAGGCTCCCGCCATCCCCAGCAGGCATGGAACTGCGGGTGGCACCGGCGTGGGCAGAGGCGGCACCCTCCCACTTCTGCCGCTGCGCAGCCCTTTTCTTTTTTGGGGGGTCAGGTGGGTTCGGGGCTGACTCCCGGTGAGGCTCAGGGGAGCCTCCAGGGTGCTGGGAATTGAACCCAGGTCCGCCGCATGCAAGGCAAGCGCCCTGGCGCCTGTCCTATGGCTCCGGCCGCAGATCAGACTTCGGCCAGCCGGACAGGAGGCCACACATGCCCCTGGGAGATCTGGTCGGGGACCGGTTCAGGTGGCCGCAACGCAGAGATGTGTCCCCCCAAGAGACGGGGCAGGGGAGGCCAGGAGGGGGCCGGGGCGAAGGCGCAGGGGATGATGGGGAGGGGGAGGGGCAGATGAAGGATGGATGGATGGATGGACGGACGGACAAATGGGCGGACAGATGGGTGGATGGATGGACAGAGGGTGGGTGGGTAGGTGGAAGGAAGGATAGGCAGGCGGATGAATGGTTGGCGGGTGGGCGATGGATGGGTGGGTGGACGGGTGGGTAGGACTAGGTCGGGTTAGGATGGAAACAGCCAGAGGCAAACGGCAAACTGCCACTGTAGGTCCCGGAGGGAAGAATCTTCCAACATCCCACTCAGCGGAGCTGAAGTTTTTCTTGCCTGAATGTTTTTGCGGACCCACCCCAGGAAGTCAGGGGCTACTCCTGGTCTTGTGCTCAGGGCTAACTTAGTGTTTTGTGGTTGTGCTGGGGTCACCCTGGATGGTGCTCAGGGCTGACTCCTGGCTCTGTGCTCGGGGATCACCCCTGCGGGGTGCCAGGCGAGGGCCCTCCCCGCGCCGCTCTCTCCCGAGGCCCCAGAGCGTCTATCTGGTATGACCCAGGAGGCCGGGGGGGCTCCCTAGCGGGGCCCCCAGG